CTTTCCAGCTCAAATCTTTCTTGGCAGATGCTTCCTCTCTTGCCTCCCGGGGATTCTCTCGGCTGGCTGACCTCGGCCTTTTGCGTCCCCTTCGCGCCGAACTTGACCTCTCCCTCGATCGCCCCTTGGCCCTCCTTTCACTTCTCTCTCTGTTGCGGTCCTTGGCTGGCGGGCTCTTGCCTCCACGAAACTCGTCTCGGATTCGTTGTGGTAGCTCCGCTTCCGTCGTGTCCAGGTTTCCACTCCTGCGGGATGAACCTGGTTCGGGCGATGGAGACACCTTCACTCCTTCTGATCTCCTCTTCAGCCTCATCTCTGTGGCTGCCGCATCACCCGACGACAGCCCATCGTGGAATTGCTCCAGCTCCTTCATCCTCCCCTCCAAGAACTCTGCCGTCGCCATCTTCTCGAAGTGGTCCATCAGGAGGTGCACGTACTTGTTGCAAAGAGCCCATGGGTACTCCCCTGATTCTTGCGATGCCTTCTTGCCGATGATGGCCTTGTGCTTGGAGTTGCCGCGCTTGCAGGAGGCGTTCATCTGGTCAATGCCGAACAAGGCGCCTCCAAACCAGTGGCGATCACCTCGGGCTCTGTCTGCTTGGTATACGCAGGTGTTGAGGAGGGTGATCTTCACGCCAGGCAAGCGAAGGGACCGCACCATTTCGGCCACGCCCCAAGCCGACAAGTGGTCCTCGTGTTCGGACGGCGGCGGGTTTTCAACCGTCACAGGTTTGACCACGATGGAGGTAGTCGGTGTCTTGGCAATTTCCTCGGCTATCTGAGTTGAGCGGGCCATCATCACTGTCCCTCTGTCGCACTCCTTCTGCTGTCCCTCGTCGTTGGACTTGCAGCCGTATGGTTCTGCTCGAGTTCGGACGGGTTGCGCCTGAACCTCAAGCGGGAGTACGTCGAACATGGGAAACCCGAGTGGTACCCGTCGATGAACCCTTCCCGCGCCCATTGGAGGTGGGTGTTGTAGGGCTCATCAGCGCATAGGTCCTCTCCCCACTCGGTGGAGATGACTTCAACCTTGAGGTTTCTCTTCTTGGCTACGCGATGGATCTCACCTCTGAAGGGATCTCGCGGGCCTGCAAAGTGATGTAGGAACCTGAACTTCCTGGCGTGTACGTAGTCGTGGATCTTCTTATGTCCCGTTTCGTCTTCTCTTCATCACCTCCTTCCTCCTTAGGGTCTTTCTCGCCTTGGTCACCCGCTTTTCCTTCGTCACCTTGATCACCTCCATCTCGAAGCCCTGAGCATCTACTTCTTGCCGGCGCATTTGATCGCAGGGTGACCCGGCGACCCGCACGATGAGCATCTGTGCGCCCGCTTGGTGGAGTTGACGCACTCTGCACCCGGTGGCAATGATCCATCTCTCCGTTCCAGGAGAAGCAAATACTCTCTGAGCTCTTGCTGCTCTTCCCCTTCTTCCCGCCTCCTTTGCTTCTTTGCCCTCGATCTCCACCTGCGTCGCCGCGGCTTTCTCGGAGTCGATGGAGTTCTTCCCTTTCGGACTGCCACTTTCTCTTCTTTGCTTCTTTTCGGTCTCTGTTCGCTTGCTTTCTCCCTGAGGATGATGCCGCGGGGGAAGTGGATCCGTAGGTGCCTGACTCCATCATGGGTTGAAGTGCCTCCAGCCCGCCATGCAAGCTCATGGATCTTCTTCGACCCAGTCGTCCCATCGACCACCGCCTCGGACATACATCAGCCGCCTCGCCAATTTCCACACCAACCCCACCTGGGCAGCTTGGATTGCCGTGAGGTGGGCATTGTCGTCCAGCGAGGCCTGGGTCAAACTGGCCGCCACCACCGGACGTGGCAGGGTCGCCAACAACCGAAGGTCTTCTCCCGGGCTGCCGGCTTCCGCTGTGAACGCTTGCCACAGCCCATCCTCCACCTCGAAGTGAGCCAGCAGCTCGGAGACCTTCGTCATAGCAATGGCCGCCTCCGATGATGGATACATACCAAGCCACCGCGAGGCACCACATCACTTCAAATTGCTGAGTGCTGGGTGGCTTGAGCCAAAATGGCAAGACCACTCAGCACTCCCCACCCAGTGCTCCAAAATTTGTCATGCGGAAAAACTTCGTTTTGCCTTCAAGAATCGCTGCTCTCGCTGGACTCTTTCTCCTCCTCTCTTTCTCCCGGCGTGGGAGCCACCACTGCTGGCGCTTCGGGGCCTTCTCCGCCCCCTCTCGCGGCTCCATTGGACCGTTCTGCAGGTCGTCGGAGCTCCTCCATACCTCGAACCTTTCAGGTTCTCGACCCATCCTGGGTCCGACACGCTCCTCCGTTGAAGCCTCCTCAAATGCACTAGATCGTCTGCTTCCGGGGCTCCGGCGCAATCTGGTGGACATAGGTGAAGACGGACAGTGAACCTGCTTTGAGGAGCAGTCAGCCACCTCAAGAATCCTTCGTCTTCACCAGCAAGCACTTCAAGAGCTCTCCTGGATCTGAACAGTCTCAACCTTGCAGGCCAATCTGACGTCTCGGCCCCAACTCCTCTCTCCCGCAGCCGCTGGCCTATATGTCGCACTTCTCGACCTTCTCGATCTCCACCGTCAGCTCCGCGTCCTCTCCTAAGGGCAGGCCTTCTGTCTCCCACTGCTGGCCTCCTCAATGGCCGGGGAGGTTCCTCTTTTCCGCTTTCCGCCCAGCGACGTATTCCTTGACGGTCTTCTGCGACTCTTTCTTCTTCAATCCCTTGTTGACCCCTGAGTCCTGGTTTTGCTTCCGGGTTGGCCTCGGCTTCAAGCTGGGGTTGTTCCTCCCACTAGGGATCGGACCTTTCCAATGTGGAGGTGGTCTGGACGGGGAACGTGGCCGCTTCCTCAAGGACAATCTCTGGCCTGCTCGGCCCTGCTCTTGGTGTACTTGACCTTGATCTCTCTTCTCTCCTTTCTTTCCTTCAAATTTTCATTTTGAGTCACTATTTTTCAAAAAATTCTTGACCGGTGGCCTCCTCTTCTTCGGAGTCGAGCCCTCTTCTTTCTGTCCCTCTTGACCCTCACGGCTAGGAGATGCAGGCTTCTTCCTTCTTTTCTCCTCCACTGAAATCGGCTGCTTCCTCTTCCTTCTTCACTTCAACCTCCTCTTCTTGAGCTTCCTTGGGATCTCGATCTCGGTGAGCTGGGGATGCCTCAGATCTGGTTCGATCCTGCCGTGCGCGATCTCCCTGAAAAACTGGCCTTGAGTGATTCTTTGATGCCTCTTCTTCCTCTGCCTTTCCTCGCTGATCTTCTTTTGATGCCCTTTCTTTCGATGCCTCTGGCGCTACCTTCTTCTCCGGCGCCAGTCGTTCAGCAGGAGCGCCACCTGGTCTTCCTCCTGCCTTGCCCCCAGCCACAGGAGGAGGGTGTGCTGGACCCTCCCCTTCCTGTGGCCTATGGGCTTCCAAGAAGATTCCAGAAGATTCCTAACTTTGATCGTGCCGTAACCCACGAAAAGGTCTGGCTCAACGCGGGTGCCTTCCACCACCAAGCGGCAGACCCGCCTCAACGAGGGACATAACGTGCAGTTGCACGTCACGCTGTGCCCCCACATTCGCACTTTGAGCCGACGCTGCGGAAAACAAGAGTCTTATCATTCCTTTCGTCTTTAAATACGGGGCCGAATTTACATGTGTTTTTTAATGTGAAGTGTCTTTCAGGTTCCGAAAGACAGTATGGAATGCAGAGAACATTCCTAAGCCGAGCTGTTTACACACAAAGTTTCAAGATCTTCTTGAACGCAACTGTCTTTTGCGCCGCTGGCACGTCAGCAAACGCATTGCGCAAGACTTAGGACTTAGGTCTGACAGTCTGATATGGTCAGATGATGTCAGATGTATGTAGGATGTAGGGGGCTTTAAAGACTACCAGCACATAACGTCCAAATGGAGCGCCATGTATTGACATCATGAGCTTCCAACATTGCATGGCTCAGCCAACAAAGGTTGCACCGCCTTCGCCAGGTCAAAGCAGTTTGGAAGGATCCACCGTGGACGCCAGTTCAATGCCCCTGGCCCGGCGTGAGCAAAAGGGCTTGAATCAGTGGAGATCGCGGGGCGCCGCAAACTCCATCCAAAGACTGCATCAAACGAGCCCCGCAGTCGTCAGAGGGCACGAAGAAGCTCGGCCAAAATCTGAGTGGAAATGGCGCCGTGCCTTCCTTCAAACCAGTGACGCTTACATTTTCTGGGTAGCTCTGTGGTGCAGTCCAGTGATACGAGCGCTTCGTGCCCTTGAGCTACCAGGGAAACGAACTTCTCTCACCAAACACTGTAGTCAAACTGTTGAGAAGTGCCGTCCCTTCCCTACACGAAAGACGTGGACACATGCGGACAAATAGGCTGCAGTGGCAGGCTAGCAGCGTTGAGTGTTTGTGGCTGCCGCTGCCTTGCGCTCAGTGTCGCAAGTGAGGCATTGTCGTTCTAAAAGCAACCGTTGGACTCACCTTTAGAAGCGAGTGAAAACGCATGTAGGGCACACCTTCTGGCTGGCAAGCGGGGTATAGCGGGGCATGGTGAGGACTTTGCCGTATGCGAGGACCAGTGTGATCTGTCAGCAGCCGCAGGGGCAGGTTTGTACTGGTCTGATATAGCATCATCTGTGTTTCCTGCAGTTTCCGCAGGCTATTTGGGAAGGATCGCTTTCAACAGCCATGAGAGAACCGTGTTCATTCAAACCCGCTGTGTGTGTTTGTGCGTCCATGAGAGCATCTCCACCGCCCTTGCAGGCGCAGCCAGCGAAAAGAAAATAGACTACTAGAATTTGCCAGATTATGTAAATTGTCGTGTCACACAGTATGTTTCAGTTTCAGCACAGCGCCTGTTGGCCCTCGAAGACCGCTTCAGGTCTCTGTGCACACGGAAGGCTAAAGCTAAGGAAGAGCCGAGCTGGAAAGCTGCGGGAGATGCTGAGATTGACTTTCCACATTTCAAACGCAAACATCGCAAGACCACAATTATCGTCTTCCGTCACCGTTACATCTGCCTGCCATCGACCGCTCACAAGTCTGGCCTCCTTTCCTTCTGAATCACAAAACATTTCCTGGGCACAACGAAGAAAAAAAACACTCCAAAAAACTCGGAAACGCAATACCGCAATCACGGCCAACTTGAAGTGATTGGCTGCAAAAGTTGCACTGTTCAAGGTGAATGCGACATGATCCAAATCCAACCCTAACCTGCTTCACGGCATCCTCTAAACTTCCTTTTGTGGCCCGCAGCCTGCTTCACACCATCAGACCGAGTTTCTCTCTCTCTCTCTCTCTACGTGTATACAATCCAATGTACATATATATATATATACGGCGGCATTGACTTGTTTTTTTTTGCCTTGCGTCCACTACTGAGTCTCAGCGTCGAGAAGGATGCTTGGGCGCTTGGCTTTTGGATTATATTGCTCGATTTTGCGCCGCCCTGTCATTCTGAAAATGATATCCATCATATTGAGTATGACTATGCAGTGCATGAATGTCTTCGCTAGACTTAAACACCCAATGCTGACGCGGTCTTCCAACTCTACGTTTCCCTATATGTTTGGGCTCGGCGCTGTTTTGTTGATAGGATACTTGTCTAAGGGGATCGTGATTTGGGGCCCGCAATATATGTCCAGCCAAACGAACTCGCTTCTGATCCAAATCAATCGTAACGGGTCTAATTCTACTATTAGGATCACGAGGATATGCTGTTCTTGAAGCAAGTTTGAGCACCCTGTCGTTCGTCCACCGTCGGTCAATGTAGGTTGTAAGTATTTTGAGAATTTGCCTCAACCCACGTAGTTGGAAAGCCCCCATTTTCTTACGTAAGGTTTGAGTGAGGAACACAGTCTCCAGATTATACAGCAGCTTGGTCTTAGTGACAGCATCATACATGACGAGTTGCCATTTCTTGCTTACATTGGAAGCTTTCCAAAAGACCGCTAAACGCCTCCAAGTTGACATTGCATCTTGGATCCGTTGTGTAATTTCTCTTCTAAGGTTTACTGTGTGGTTGAGGTTGTTCCCCAAGTATGTAGCATCTTGCGCTTTATCTAGAAGTGTACCATCGGCAAAATGTATGCGCGCCTCACGGTGCATGTTCAAGGAATGGCGCTTGGCAGGGTTAAGTTTCAATCCATAATATCCAGAACATTCCTCCATATGTTTCCAAATTTCATTCAATCCTCTTGGGGAAGTTGAAAAAAGAATTGTATCGTCTGCATAGTAAACGGCATCGAAGTCAACGCCCGGGATTCTTGAGTTTACAACGTGACCAGAGCTGCGGGACCTAACATCGTAATCAACACACGTCATCACCAGCAAAAATAGATATGGACTACGTTGATGCTAGGGCCACCAGGGCAGCTAGCAATTTGGAACGTTTGAGGGGCATCAAGTTGGATGGGATGACCATTCCGCCAGCACCTTTTTCAAAGAAGATACTTGCATGAACTATTTCAAGAACACCTGTATTTCTTGCTTTGGCACCAGCCAAGTGTGCAATCCAAATGCTTGTTTAAAACATGTCACTTGTTTCTTTTGAACCCAAGGAGCTTCACAGTGTATGACCCGAAGAAGCGTGGTGCCAATATTGGGGTAGTGCTGTACCAGTCCCACTACTATGTTGGCAAGGCTTCAGAGGACCGGGTTCAGGAGAAGTTTGGAAGAGACCCATATCCCAATGGCAGTTTCTGTGTCCCCTGGGAGCCTGACCCAGAGACTGCGTGCAACTGACATGTTTCCCTGCAGTGCTGAGGCATCAACATGCAGCCATATATCACCACACAAAAAGGGCATCACACTCTGAACCCAGCCAGGTGGCTCCTGGCAAAGTACGTTGCTATGTGGTGGTGGACACCATCATTAGCGTGTGCCCTGGAAATCCGTTCAAGCAGACAGAGAGAAAGAGAGAGAGATAGGGACAGTGTGCTTGGTAGAAGGCATCATTTTGTTTTGAGTTTTTCACCACTCTGAGACACGATTAGTCAAGACTAGGCAAGTCAAGGTGAGCCTGCTTATTGCAGGCAAACCTTTGCAGCAATGTGATGATATTGTTGTGTGTTCCCAGGTCGACCGGTTGCAAACAGGTGGACAGCACAGGTCAGAAGTACAGTGCAGGGGCCTGTCACTCTTTGGGGTATTCCGTGAATCAATGTGTGTGCGTCTACCATTTGCGTTTGCAGACTATTCCATGAATCATGAGTCAATGAATCACTAGTGCCTGAGTCTGTATGAGTCTAGTTGGGGAAGCGACTATTGTACATAAAGGCCAAGGCATCATGGTTGTGGACATCTACACAGCAGCACTTGCCTTGGAGAGTCAGTTGGCTATCAAATGTGTTTCATTCAGTTGATAGTGATATAAAAGCTGATAATGGTGCGAAGACATGACATGTCAGCTTCTTCTTTAATGGAGCAAACTGTAGTAATAGTCATTAACTAATATATGCAGTCACAACACATGTCATTGTCAGATGTGTTTCATTCAGTTGACCAGCAATCATAATGTGAAAGCGTGCTTTGCCTTGTGACAAACATGCTAGTATCTAAAATGAGCATGAGACACCTACCTGCTGACTCTGCTCTGCTTATTCTGTGGCTCAGTCAGCTGTAAGTCAAGAAGTTGGTCGGTCTGTGCTGGTTGCTGCTCCCACTTGATCATGGCATCAACATTGATGCCCATTCCGAATCCAATATTCGGATTTGGTGGTGGCGTGTGACCTTCCACTGGGTGAAGATGACAGCCGTACCTTCTTGTGCTCTGAGCTGTTGCACGCGATGTTGGATGAAACCCCACCAAGGGAGAGGAGCAAACTGAAACTCAGCCAACGTAATCAACAGCCGAGGAATGTGTAGTCCACTTGACATTTGTGCAATCCTTGACTTGTCAATTGTGTTTCTCATTCACACTAACCTTTGAAGTGACATTGGCTGATGGTGGACTCAGGATGCAGGAAGCTTGCCTTCAGATCTTTTGTTCAAGGGCACTGCCATCAAGGACATTGTTCTGTCCTCATTTCAATTGCTTGTCACTGACAGAGTCACTCAAAGTACTGTCAACAAGCCAGTAGGCATGAGACAGTAGGATTAAGCATGTTCTTTCATTTTCTTCCCCTGTCAGTCTGTCTGAGGCAGGACGGAGGGTTCAAAGTCCGTACAGAGTATCTTGATCAGTGTCCGGAATTGAAGCCGCTGGTCTTGGTTGACTGGATGTCAACTGTCAGTCATACTTCGTTCTTTTCCAAATAGATTCCAAACAGCTGCACTGAGGTTTGTTCATGGCCTCTTTCAGGAGTTGGCAACTGCCCAGGTACTGTACAAAAAATGACAAAGAGCTTGACTGAGGCAGGAAGTGTCGCACACAAGGGTGATCTGTGTTATTGGTTGAGGTGGGTGTCATAAAAAAATACACTGGACCGACTGGACGGGAGGCAAATGTCACCTGCATCAAAACAGAGGAACTCTTGAGGATGCTTAATGAGGCGTGTTGGGTCTCATTGTGGTTGAGGATAGATGTATGTCACTGCAGTGGACCATGGGCAGTAGCTATATGCCTATTACTGTGACTACTCTGTCAGGGACACCTCTCCATCGTTTCGTGCCCCGACTCAGAAGCAAGCCTCGCTTGGCGATCCTCCAGCTGAGTTTCAATCACTCCCTGGCCACGCAAAAACAGTGTGCAGGTAGTGAACTGACAATGTCACTTCATGTTTCATGCTCCTAGTAGCGTCTTTGCTCCTAGTAAGGCCAGGAGCCCCTAGTAGCGTTCTTGTTCCTAGTAGCGATGCCCTTTGCTCCTAGTCTCAACAAATTCTGCATGTTTCTCCACGACTTGGGGACCTCTGGCAGTTCTTTGACCGGGTCTGGCACCTGGCTGAAGCAAGTTATAAATGCAACCGGACCGACAAATGTAGTACGACCTATACACCCGCATAACAAGGCCAAAGGAACGACAGCTTGCTTCGATGAAATCTGAGACTGAGATCAGGCACCCGAGAATTGTCTGGGTCTATCTCGCCAAGGAAGCCTACCAGTTCGAGCCTGGAAGTCTGTGCCCAAGACAAGTGAAGGAAGCATAAAGTTTGGTGCAAAAAGGGTCAGGGCAACAAGAACGCTTCTATAAGAAACACTCATCCATACTGGGTCGATAGCTCCAGGCACTGAACAGTCGGCAGTCGCCTTGAACCCGGCACAGTGTTCAGTTTGCATGTTTTGAGATTCCCTCTCAAAAAACAAAACATGAGAAGATCAGTTTGGCAAAGGCCAACACTTCAAGAGTTCAGCAGGTCTGAGCCATCTCAACTCGCAGGTCGAAGACCTGAAACATGTAAATGTAAAGCAAGCGGAAATCATCATATTCCATCGAGACGCTTTTGAGTAGCAAGAAACGCTCGAGCACGGCAAACAGGACAGCTTGGCACACCAACAAAGCAAAATGCTGCACGACCTCAAGATCCAATGAACATTGCTGCATTCGTGAAATCCATTCAAACGAACGCATGAATCATGAACAATGAACAACTAACAAACACTTCTGGCTACAAGTATTGGTCACAATGCCAGTCGTCAGTCAGAGTCCTAACTTTTGGCTTGCTGCTTGTCCCAATTTGCCCCAAGTGTCTGACATGCGCCTTCCCTAGAGACTTGTTAGACTCTTTAAACTTTCAGCTGAAGGGTAGACTACGCACATAGCCTTGTAAAACCCTGTATATATACACAGAAAAGAGTCTAGCACTTTTTTGGAAAAAGGTCTCTAAAACATGATGTCCAAGTGTTGTCCAAACTACATCATCATCTCATGCCAACATAGCACATATACCTGAGAGGGGGGGGCGAAAGCCAGCAGCCGCCAGACGAGTGTCTCTTTTCTAGCAAGCGTCGCGGCACAAGACACATGGTCGGCAGCTTGTGAGTGAGCGGTGCCGCGGATGCAGGGGGGGCGTATGTAATGGTGATGGAGGGAGCAGAGAAGCAAGCCGGGCGGCTTTGGGATAAGTTTGGTATGAAAGAAGTAGTGGCAGAGAAATGCGATACGTTGTATGTTGGTGTAGGTCATCATCACAAGGCAATGGCATGCGTTTGTCACATGCAGGAAGGTATGCATCTTATGGAAGCTGGAAGGCGACATCAGCGCTAGCGAAGGCGAAATACCGTCTGAGTTCGAGTGGTGGGATACCACGCGCGCGCCGCGTGCGCGCGAGTACGGCGTGCGTTTGAAAAGAACCAATTATGTCTTTGTTACATTTGGAGTGTTTGAAGTTTGCAACGCATACTGCGGCGCGTCGAAAAGCGGCATTCTGATTTAAGAGTGAACGGGCACGTCTTAGCAGGGACACGGACGTTTGATCCCGGAGTGAGGATTTGTGTGCCTATCGATGCACATGCCTGGATCTTGAGTGAGTCATGTTCTGGCTCGATCCAAAGCACAATCCTTTTCCTTTAAAGAGGCCTTTATTGAACAATCCAAACACATTCTTTATTCTTCTCTTCCTTATCAACTCTGCGCCTTTCTCACTCAGAGGCCTTGACTTTGGCACCTGCGTGTGTAGATCTTTGGGCCGTGGACACAGGCTGACTGGATTCGGCCAGGGCTGCCAGCAAAAAGGCGACGTCATGAGTCAGTAGTATATAGAATTTCTCTGTCTATCTATCTATCTCTCTATCTCTATCTCTAAAAACGTTCGGTGGGTGTGGACGCCGCGAGAAGCATCCAGGACATGGTGCAAAGTATAGTTTTTGCTAGGGGGCAGGAACTCTATGCGGATATGTAGTCAACCTCGCAGGCATCCCCACCGAAAATTCATGGACTTGAACTCACGGCACTTTCGGTTCTCTATGGATTTCGCAAGTTACGGGTTGTCCTGCTACATGCGGCTGCGGTCTGCTCTGTATGTGGGTCCCTGTCTCCACTCGATTGCTCAATGCCCATTGTCCAAATAGCCTCCAAAGCCCTTCATGATGCTAATGATGCACTACTCGGCGTCCATTGCATCACTCGAATCACCAGACCCCATTTTCACTGCTTTTCTGACCCTCTTGGAGCGCTCTCCCCCACCAAGCTCTGGGTTCACCCTCTCAAAAGGTCCCTCTCAACGGCCACCCCCCCTTAACTCACTTCGTTCGCTCTAAAAGCTCAAGCCTAGCCTATCGGCTGGCTTTCGTAATCAAAACAAATTACACTATACACACACAGCATTGTACCCAGATTCCGTAACCAAGTCCGCATTGTTCCCCAAACGGTGTGGGCGCACCGAGGGGTTCTTTCGGTAGGTGAAAAGCAGCTGATGCTTAGATCGCTGAAGCGCGCGGGCGTGACCGGCTAATTCGCTGCTATTTACAGTACATTCATGCCCACGCGCACTTCGACTGCGCAGGCTTGCAGAATCTGGGCGGCGGCAGGGGGTGCTTCTAGCGACTGCGCTCTCGTTGTCGCGCCGCGCGCATTTTCGCACATGGTGGTGACTTTTCGTGGCAGGCGCAAGGGAAACCTCGTGTTTTGGTGCTCCAATGTCGACTTTTCGTGACAGGTGCAAGGGATCGGAGCTGTTTTGCTTCGAAATGCAGTCTTCGTGGCAGGCGCAGCACTTTGGACATGGTGGTGATCGTCGAGGAGCCCAGATTTCGTGACAGGTGCAGTGAATCGTGACTTTTGGACACGTGGCTCGTTTGCAGATTCTTCCTGTGGTAATATATTGAGAAAGCTATGACCAACTCGACCCATGATGATTCCAGTTCCATACCATCGCCCCCCAACAAATCTAGCCCCCTTCTCACGCTTCTGTGTTCTCCTTGTAGGCAATGTAGTCCCCAACAAGGAACTCACGCTCGGCCGTTGGTCTAAGCTGGCCCGAGGGGGAAGCATCGCGCTCAGCCATGACTATATATAGGGCTACTCTGGCCTGCGTCCGAATGTTCTGAGCACGCGCCGCGAGCTCATCGCGCAGACGAGATGCGCCGGCTACTGGACATGGACGTTCTTGCAGGAGATCGGCTTGCATCCTAGGGTTCCTACCGAAAACCAACTGACAGGGAGACAGACCCTTCTGGTTAGCAGTCTGGATGATGCGTTGTTCATATTATTCCTCTCTGTTCTTTGGCTGAACCTGGTCATTTTGAAGAATCACTTCAAACAAATGGCCATGTTTCTCGACGTTGCCCTGAGTCTATAAGACGCCAAAGCCCGGCGACGACGCAAGCCCACCATCGCAACTCCTTGGACCTTGTCTTTGTCCCCCTTCGTTGAGGACGACAGCGAGACCGGTTCTGCAGATCCTTTAGATCTCCAGCAAATTGCACGAATTTGCTTGCTGGCAACGTCGACTCTGTTTCGAGATCTCAGCGCCTCTGCGCTCGCTGCTTGTCAGTGAGGTCTTTCGTCGCCGCCGTTTTCGCTTCCACCCAGAGCTTCCAGCGTTTGTATTCCCGTGGATCTAGGGATTCACCGCTAAAGCGTCGATTGCCATAGCCAGCCTCCGTGGAAGAGGTTGCCATGACACCGACACTGCTTTCTACCCTAACTCTGCCTCGAGCTGCGTCCTGGATGCCCCCACCGTCTTGTCAATTATGAATCTCCGAGGGCGAATGCCCTTCCACCGCGAATCCCCTGAGTCAAAACACGCGGCCACCTTTTCTCCGCGCTTGTCTAAGCCAAAGGTTGCCTGCGAATGCCGAACGATACAATGGGACCCCTGACGAAAGGAGATCCGACCGACACTGCTTTCAAATATTTACATATTTATATATGTGTGTGTTTTGTTTGTTTAAGTATAAGTATTGTTGTATATAGTTATATATATATATACATATAGACAGTTTTTACATGTACCTGTACCTAACATGGGCTCTACTGATGGCGCGCAAAAGACTTTGTGACAGCGAATGATTACACTACTGAATCATTGGACCTAAGCCCAATGGTGGCATTCAACAGAGAGCGCGCAAAACAATCCCGCCTGTACCGAAGGTGCTGAGGCATTTAATCTGCACTAGGCATGCGCCGACTACATGTCATGATGGCCCAGCAAGCGCTGATGTCACTGATGAATAGCTTCATCTGAGGGGCTGAGGGGCGCCTCTTGTTCAGTGATCCGCCGACCCCAGCCTAGCCGCAGCCTAGGCGGGAGGCGCCTGGGACACCACACGCTGCAACCTTGGCATTGGCATCTCCACCTTTAGTGGGCTTTAGCGCAGGCCACAGCTAGCCTGTCGGAGGCCACGCAGCCTATAGGCATGGCCTGGGCTGCCACGTACGGTGCTAGCAGCCGAGGCCAGCCTCTCTTCTTTTCTAGGCTTCGACGGCCCCCCCTCAAACGCCTCCGGCGCCTCGCAGCGTGCAAGCTTGGCATTGGCATCTCCACCTTTGTGGGCTTTACGCAGGCCACAGCTAGCCTGTCCGAGGCCACGCAGCCTATAGGCATGGCCTGGGCTGCCACGTACGGCGCTAGCAGCCGAGGCCAGCCTCTTCTTTTCTAGCCTTCCGAAGGTGACGGCCTCCCCTCAAACGCCTCTCGGCGCCTCGCAGCGTGCAACCTTGGCATTGGCATCTCCACTTTGTGGGCTTTAGCGCAGGCCACAGCTAGCCTGTCCGAGGCCAGCCTCTTCTGTTCTAGGCTTCCGAAGGCGACGGCCCCCTCAAACGCCTCTCGGCACCTCGCAGGGTGCAACCTTGGCGTTGGCATCTCCACCTTTGTGGGCTTTAGCGCAGGCCACAGCTAGGGCCTGGGCTGCCACGTACGGTGCTAGCAGCCGAGGCCAGCCTCTTC